CACACACACACACACACACACACACACGCACGCACACACACACGCACACACTCACACACACACACACACCTATATCAACCCACACACCTATATAAATACACCCACCCACACCCACCCACACCCACCCATGTACTCTTCAAATATTGATTGTTTTTTTTTTCACTTATGATACATGCATTTCCTCTTTTTGTCAATCATTCAAGTCTCCCTGTATATCCTGTCTTCCTATAGGGCCAGCATGCGGCCCGAGCCTCGCCCTCCGGCCCCGGCCCCGCCCACAGCCCCTCCCCCACCAGTCAGACTGTGTACCTTCAGAGACTGCAGGATAGCAGCGACGCTTTCAAGGCCGGGGACTTCAAGTAAGTTCTTAGTTAGGTTTAGGCTTCTCTATAAGATGCCTTGTCCATGCTGTTTTGTATATAATATTATGCTTATTTTTAAAACCGAATAGCGCTCTATTAACTGTTTGACTCTTTCCTCCTTCTTGAGAAGACCAATACAGTTGGTTTTTTGGGGGGTTGGGGGTGGAGGTGGTCGTATTGACAGCATAGACTCCTTCAGTTGATGTTGAAAGCAAATACAGTTATTTATATTCGTTCCTGCTCACTCTGAATACCTTAAAGTCAAATACGACCTTGGAAGCATTTCAGCGTAAATCTAAAGCGTTCGCCGCGTGGCTAAGGTTAGCACTAAAGGCTAACGGTGTGCCGCCATGTCCCTTTGATGTCTGTGTAAGTAGGTCAGTAGATTTTGGCACTCAGGAGATCAGCCCACACCACACAGAAGCTTAGCCACACATTCCCCTGGTGTTAAAGGTTGTTCCAAAATCTCCCTCCCCCCCCCTCCCAAACCACCTTCCCACGCCCACTACACCTTCTCTGCCCCCACCCCCCTTGTCTTTGATTAGAAATGGCAGCGTCAGCACTTTTTCTTTTCCTACGGACACTGCGGTGGCTTCTAGTTGAGTAAATGACTCTGAAGATGTACAATCTGGCCACTGTTTGTAACAATAAATGCTTGAATGACGATGCGACATCATATTTATCAAATCTGTTGAAAATGCACGTTCCAGCCTCTCAGTTTAAGGTTATCAGCTGACAAAAATGAATTGCTTTTTGGCATCAATGTAACTGAAAACAATGGATGAAAGGGCATTTGTAATACATGGCTCCAAGATGTGGAACACACTGTCTGGTAATTTAAGAGAGAATAAATTTTAATTCATTCAGAAATGAGCTCGTAACATTTCTGTTTTTATGTTAACTGAAAGAAGTTTCTAGATTTTTTTCAGGATATAACGCACTGGTTAAGTGTTGCTATTGCATTTGTAAAGGCGCTAAAATGTTCTTTAATCGGAGCTCTATAAAATTGTCATGCTATTATTATTATGAATTACATTATTAGAGAGAGAGAGAGAGAG